CTGAAGGTCAAAACTGGGCTTGTATATGTATATACTGGATTTTAACTAGACATTTGTGGAAATTTTTTTTTTTAACTTTAAACTATTTTTATTTTTCAAAGCATTTTGATTTGTCCTTGCAAAAAAAGTTTAAGGTTAATATACAAAAATTAAAGGGCGCTACTATTTTTTCGCACACAAGTGTCCACCGCTGAGCCCAGAGCTCGACCCTGGCACAAGCTGTTCACAAATCCCCAAGGATTTAACTCACATTGTGTAAAGAAATCTTTTAAACAATTTCATACTTGATTTCTCTTTTATCCTGGTCAGCTCGAGGGCAATTTTTTAAATTTTCTTATGGTTTAACTTCTTGATGCTGCAAGTCAGATTAAAAGAGCTTACCCAAGTTGGACGCTCCGTGATGTGACATTGTTCAGCACAATCTGCTTCAAAACAGCCACAAGCAACACCCATGTGTCCATGTAATCTCTGCTAGTGTCTATCTGTGGGCGTCCCCTACAGGACAAACTGTAATTTTATGCAAAAGAAAATTCTACATGCCCCTGTCCCTCAAGATAATATGCGCGCCATTTGCAAACACTTTTTCTAAATTCATAAGCTACCAAAATGCGTACAAAACAAAATGTACCTCCAGAGAAAAAATTAGTTGGAAAATCAGCTAAAAACAAAATCTCAGAGTCATATCTAAATTGGATTTATAGCTTAAAATCAGGGTGTTTTTTAAAGGTGTTTTGAAATATATTGGAGAAAGGAGAAGAAAGTGTCTTTTGAATATAAAATTTATTAAGGAAAATTAGGAACTAAAAATACCCAGACCTTGAGCCAGCCAAAACACACCAGAATATTAATTAATACAAAAAAAAAAGGTTTACACTGTTTTATTTAAAACTTATTAATAAAAAATAACATTTTATGTCCACCACAATTATTATTTTATTTTGAGCAAAGAAATAAACTGGAGACTCAGTGATCCGAAGTTTTTAAGCTGAAACGCATCTTAAAGAGCCAAAACCAAAGGAACTGTATTCCTTTCAGTTTTCAGCCTTGTGGGACCCAGGCAAGTGGGTTTCTCCGAACAAGTGGCCGACGAGCAACACCACTGCTCGATTCACATGCGGCATTTATATAACTGCAAGTTGTTAATTAAATTTTGTTTTAAATTCAACTTGTCGCACCACGGCGATGCGGCTGCTGCAGTTGACTTCAGCTTGAGTGTTGGGGCTCGGCTTGGTATTCATTGAAAAATCCGCAACTAATTAGGACGCACGGCGAGGAGCTTGCACGTAGACGACACGGCGACAGGACCTCGTGCACGGCTACTTCTCCTGCAGTGGGCAAGATAAGCTGCTTTAAGGGGACAGGGAACGCGGGGACGGGCCAACCAGACTCAAGCACAAATTAACAGAATTGCATTGCATTCATTTTTCCGGAAGAGGATATAATCAACACACACAGCTGGTTTTTAGATGCAACTCCGCTAAATACGTAATTTTTAGGTACAGCTGATTTCAATACCAGAATCTGATTTCCGGAATTTTTATTCAAAGTATTTAAAATATCATGGCATTATGAAATGTCCAAATGTGGCTATTTCCAATCGTTAATATTCAATACATCCACTAATTGGGTCATAATTGCAAAACATGTTTGTTGTTATTATATTTCATTTCTATGATAGACATCAATACCAATAGCTTTTTATACCCTTGCAGAGGGTATTATAATTTCAGGCAGTGAAGGAGACATCTCCGGCCCTATAAAGTATATATATTCTTGATCAGCATCACTAGGCGAGTCGATCTAGCCATGTCCGTCTGTCCGTCCGTCTGTCCGTCCGTTTATAAGCAAACTAGTCTCTCAGTTTTAAAGCTATCTGCATGAAACTTTCCCAAAAGTTGTCTTTCTATTGCAGGTAGTATATAAGTCGGATCGAACGACTATAGCATATAGCTCCCATAGGAACAATCGGAAAAATAAATGAAAAAAAATTATAACTTTTCTGTTTTTTAATTTTTTGTTTAGTTCTTCGACATTTAGTAATGGTTAAATATTTTCGATTTACGGTTTAAATTTCATCAAAGTCGGACGACTATATCATATAGCTCCCATAGGAACAATCGGAGAAATAAATGAAAAAAAATTATAACTTATCTGTTTTTAATTTTTTGTTTAGTTCTTCGACATTTAGTAATGGTTAAATATTTCCAATTTACGGTTTAAGTTTCATCAAAGTCGGACGACTATATCATATAGCTCCCATAGGAACAATAAAAATATATAATATAACTATCAAATAATTGAGCTGCAAATCATCATAGCTTCAATGTTTTTAAACATATACGCTAGTAAATTATAATTTTAATGTTTTCAAAAATGTTTAATTCTTGCAATAGCTGCAAGGGTATATGAACTTCGGCTTGCCGAAGTTTGCTTTCTTTCTTGTTAAAATAAATCTAACATTTATTGCTAATTCTTGAATGTAGTCTCTTTCTTATTCAATAGTGTGAACGCCTTTAAAAATATATTTCGGTCAATTGCAGTTGACAACAACTTTCACTCACTCGCTAAATAATTCAGCGTCCACTGATTAGACACTTTAGGGCTGTCAACGCACTGTTCTAACAAAGTGACACATTGTTTTCACATATTCTGGAAACTGTCTGTAGCCACCCACATTGGAACCCTGCGAAAACTTTGATTAGTATTTGAATAATAGATGCAGATTGTGCATTAAATAGTGGTGATAAGGGAGTGGCCAGGGAATCATGGTTGGACGGCCAGACGCTTAAGCTAAACTTCATTTTGTAAGCTCGCCCAAATTGACCTCTTTATTTATCTCAAAAATACTCGAATAGGGACAGGAATCGGGGGACAGAAAAGGTGGCTGCCGCCCAAGTCTAAGCTAACCATTCGAAAAATGCAGTCAAGCGTTAACTGTTGATGCTCTGGATGTAAGGCATTAACGATTTCGTTCCTTGAATTGCTTTAAATTTACATTTAATGAGGTTTGAGAGACACCAAGGTGCGAAAAAATGTTTAGTTAAGCAGGTACTTTGGGTTTCGAAGTGATTTAAAGTGTCGCAAAGTGAAATCAAATGCAAATGCATGCAAGATTTGTGCTCGTGGGTCGGATATTGATCCGTGGATTATGCTAATGACATCGCAGAAAAATGTTTGCGTGGAAAAGTCTATTAAAAAACAGGAACTAAGCTAAGAACTAATAAAAACCAAGGTAAAGTAATTTTGCGTTTTCGAATATCTGAAATGTTGTCTTTTTTTGTGAGAACACATCTTGTTATCAGTGCGTTGTAACTTTACACAGAAAGACCTTCAAATCTAAAGCTCAAACAGAGCAAATTAAAACAAGAAAGAAATTTAACTTCGGCTATCCGAAGTTTATATACCCTTGCAGCTTTTGTAAAAATTAAATATTCTTTAATAAATTCTAAATTTTAAATTATATACTTACAAACATTGAAGCTATGATGAGTTACATGATATCGCATTCCCATTTTAATCAAATTAAAATAAAAATTAGTTTAAAAGCTAAAATATATTTTATTTATTTCAAATTGTTTCCGTGGTGGCTATATTAAAGTCGTCGTTAAGTCAATTTAAGCCGTTATTCTAAAATAATAAAGCATTACTATATATTTTGAAGAGCTAAACAAAACAAATAAAAAAACATAATTTTTATCATGGTTAAATATTTCAGAATTACGGTTTAAATTTCATCAAAATCGGAAGAGTATATCATATAGCTCCCATAGAAATAATAAAAATATATAAAATAACTATATAATAATTGAGCTGTAAATCATTATAGCTTCAATGTTTTTAACATATACGCAAGTAAATCATAATTTTAATGTTTTCAAAAATATTTAATCTATGCAATAGCTGCAAGGGTATATGAACTTCGGCTTGCCGAAGTTTGTTTCCTTTCTTGTTTTTATTTATTTTTCCGATTGTTTCTATGGGAGCTATATGCTATAGTCGTCCGATCCGGTACTACCTACAATAGATAGACAACTTTTGGGAAAGTTTCATGCAGATAGCTTTAAAACTGAAGGACTAGTTTGCGTAGAAACGGGCGGACAGACGGGCGGACAGACGGACATGGCTAGATGGACTCTGCTAGTGATGCTGATCAAGAATATATATACTTTATAGGGTCGGAGACGTCTCCTTCACTGCGTTGCAAACTTCTGACTGAAATTATAATACTCTCTGCAAGGGTATACAAATCTTTAATAATCATTATCTTTGAGTTGGGGTCAAAAATCATCGAAAAAGTGATTACGTAATATATGAACAGCCCCTAAGGTTGTGGTTTTCTGTCAATCGACCATCGAAAAGAACGAATCAATTGAATGTTGCTGTTCAATTTATTTAACGAAGGACATCATTAAAGTGTTTGGCCTAAAGTTTTAAAAGTGCTTTAAAACCCATAGCTCTTTCCACAATTATAACGGTGTGCGTATTAAAATATCTATCAAATAGACATTATTGACTTGTGTAAGTCGTTTCAAAATAGAAATTCCTAGATTACAAGCGCTAGCGACCTTAGTCAGAGTCCTTTGCTAATCTCAATCGGGCCTAATGTCACTGGCTAAGCCCGCTTTTAAGTTAAAGTTTCTAAGCTGTCTAGCACAAATCTGTGTTTGTTGAAAATCCAGCAAATGACTCTCCCGCTGCCAGGCACAGAAATTGTTCCCAGCCCAACCACAGCCAAGGAAAATCATTGCCGCATTTGAGCATTTTCACTAATTAAACTGACACGAAAGCCGCAACACAGACGGAGAAACCCCACCCGAAAGTTGGTGTCGCTGGTTTTTATTTTGTTGGTCTTTAGAAAATGAGAACTGGTGTGCTTGTCAGCCGGCTGATGGCTGCCTGTAGATTGGTTTTTGGGTTTCCGCGCCCATTCCCCCCCATTTTTGTTTGAGTGTCGCTGGCAGAGCCTTTTTGTGTTTCGTTACTCATTCACATTCACTCACCTGGGCGAGTTAAAGATCCAAATGCTTTCCAGACGATTCTAGCCCGGCTTCCTGCAGAAGTCCGACGCCATCAGGGCAGGGCTGCAGCCCCAGCAGATGCAGTGGAGCAGCGGTGGCCTGATCCTTGTACGCCGCCATCGGGGCACTCCCGTTGGCCAGGCTGCCGCCCAGATAGCGTCGGTAAGTGTACTCCGGGTCGGAGTTCCAGAACTTGTGGAAGGACACGGGCGGCTGCAGCTGCAGCAGCTCCTCGGCGTAGTCCTGCGGACGGGCCTGGTGCATCCCAGCAGCCGGCACCGCCGCCACGCCCAGCGCCTGGAGGCAGTAGCCCAGGATCATGTCGTCGGGGGCGCCCGCACTAGGACAACTGCAGCGCTCCACGATCAGCCGAACCAGGGGCAGGCTGAGCAGGATGCCGGCCCCTCCCGTGTGGTAGTTGAAGCCATCGGGGGCGCGCAGCCGGTAGCCATACCGCTGGCCCAGATACACGAGGTCCGAGTGGTTGTGGCAGCTCAGCAGGGCGCTCACTCGGGGTACACTGTGTGGGATGGTGGGTGGTCGAATGGGAAGTGGACAGGGATCAGAGGCGGACATTGCAAGAGTCCGATGCGTCGGATATATCAATATAAATATTTTTAATTGAATGCGCCGCCATGCATTTCAACCGGAAAATACAAATGAAAACGAGAAAAGAAGCTGGCTCCGGCCAGACGAGGTTTTTATTCCCTTGCGCTGCAGTTGCGGTCAAAACAATAGTAGCGCAGTTACAGTTTCGGTCAAAACAATAGTAGTGCCAATGGGTCTCATCTTTAAATATTTGTTATTATTATTTCTCTTAGCCAATTCAAACGATGGTTGACTATTTTTTGTTAGACTATATACATACACGGTCCAATAACTAACCTCTACAATGGCTCAAATTGTCATGACAGACTTTCGCGATTTGTGGGCGTTTTAAAAAAATAATTTCCGCATTTTTGGACGGACAGACGGACATGGCTAGATCGACTCGGCTATATATACCTTATAGTTCCTCAGTTTAAAAGCTATCTGCAAGAAACTTTACACAAGTATATATGTACAAGTAAATAAACTCAAAGCTTCTAAAAACTTCACACATTTTATGTGCAAAAATCTAATTCGCTCTAATCATTAATCTAAAATAAAAAAATGTTAATGTTAAATGTTATTTTATTTAAGACGGTACAATACGGTAGTGCACCCGCAACTTACTTCGATATTTGATTTGGTTTTAGTCCCTGGTTGCGTATTTGAATTGTAAATCAAAATATATTTTTAAAAACATTCTTGTTCCCTAAACAAAATTTTGGTTTGCCTTCAGAAACGTCCAAAGTTGAGTTTAAAACCCCACTTTCTTAAACCAAATTAGGAGATCATTAACTCTTGCACTAGCCTACAGCCAAAGCAATACAGCCTTGGTTAATCTAATCTAATTCAGGAAAACCCCTCGCACTCACCTAAGTAGCGTATCGTCGTCGACGAGCATGAGCCAGCGAATGTCCATTTGTTCACCGATATCCTTGAGTGATAACTGTAAAATAGCCATTGTCTTGGCACAATGACCGGTCTGGACATTCGGTATCCCAGTGCTGATGGTCGGTATGCCGCCGTCTGTGGAGGTTATCGAAAGGAGTGGGGAGTCGCCAAGTCAAATCAATGAATATTCAATAAGTCGGTCTATTCATCGCAGGGTGGTACTGGGGAGCGGGGGTGACAACTCTTAGCCACACGGGCAGGCATCCGATGTTTGCCCCTGCATGTGTGCACATGTGTTTAGTTTTCCTGTCACTCCACCTCGTCGTGTTTTTGGTAATGCGCTGAGCCCGGCACCACCCTCCGCATCTGGTTGAATGGCCCGCTCATTGTCATCTGGGTGCTCACCTGCCACATCGCTGTAGTACCTCCTGTTCTGGGCGTCTGCTGCCCAGGTGCGTTCGATGATTGTTATGCGTTCCTTGTGGAATTTCGCACAGGTTTTGATTGCGAAATATATGTGCGATCCGGTCGTGTACACCTGTTCGTGCGGGTGGCAGTGTCCGGGAATGCAGATATGGAGACGGAGCCGATAGACAATTTATGGTTATGGAGGTTTCAAATGCTAATTGCTCGGGGTGCTCCATTGGCATGTGAAATCAAATGAGTCTTAAATTTTGTAGTCTTGTGGGCTTTAAAATTATGCACTCAGCTTAACTTTGATTACACTTATAGAAAATTTATGCACCAATATGATTAGGACTTTAAATAACTTTCTAACAATAACTTTTTTGAAACTGTTTTTTATTCCTTAATGTTTTTGATTAAGATAGAAAAAAAAATCGGTCTACAGTCAATTTATACGATTGAAGTACCCAACACTTTTGAAATTTATTAAAAGATAGAAATTGAAGCAATCTTCAGTTTAAATACCCTTGCAGCTATTCGAAAATGAAACATTCACTAAAACATCTCAGTTTCGATTTATATACGTAGGTATATGGTTAAAAGCATTAAAGCTATGATGATTTTCAGCTGAACTATCGTCCCCTATGGCAAATATATGCAGTGTTGGGAAAGACTGGTTTTTTCGATCTAGGTAAGATACAAGGTATTTAAAAAATAAGTACCTAGCTAAGTTAAAAGGTACACAATTTGTTAATTATCTAGGTAATGTAAAAGGTAAAAAAAATTAAAAAAAGCATTTATTGTAATATAATTTTGTTTTTTAATTTTTAAGTTAATTTGTTCTTTAGGAAGTTGTAGATGAATTAAGACATTGTGTATAACAAGAAATAAACAAATTATATCTGGCATATGCGTTGGAGTTAGGTTTTTCTTCAAGTTGCATAATTCATAATTCAAAATTCAATTTAGTGGTATCAAGCTAATTTGAAAACAAAAATAAATATATCAAGAAGGGAAGCAATTGCAAAAATTAAATATTCTTGAAAACATTTAAGTTATGAATTACTTGCGTATATGTTTAAAAGCATTAAAGCTATGATGATTTGCAGCTCAATTATTTAATAGTTCCTATGACAGCTATTTTAATAAAATTAAAAGCGTAATCTGAACTGTCAAATTATTAATAAATCGAAAAGAATTTAAAAAAAAATTACAAAATAAAAAAATTACATTTAAGAATACATGTTTTTTAAATATTTTTATTGTTTCTGGTGCTTTATGTTATAGTCGTCCGAGTTTGATGAAATTTAAACCGTAATTCTGAAATATTTAACCATTACTATATGTCGAAGAATTAAAAAGAAAATAAGAAAAACAGAATAATAAAATTTTTTTTAAATTTGTTTTGGACAGACGTGGCTAGATCGACTCTCCTAGTGATGCTGATCAAGAATATATATACTTTATAGGGTCGGAAATGTCTCCTTCACTGCGTTGCAAACTTCTGACTGAAATTATAATATCCTCTGCAAGGGTATAAATATTTCCGTACCTACGTAGCTTATTGTTAAAATAAATAAAAGTCTTCACCTATAGGTACCTATGGAAAATAGGTTTATCGAGCCTTCCAAGAGTAAGAAACCGTGTTTCTTATAAAAATGGGGGAATCGACATTTTTACAAACACCTCATCTTAATCAAAAACCTATTTAGGTGATATATTATTTCACAGAAACAAAGCAAAAATAAGCTTACACAACGCTCTTTTAGGTGCCCTAAAGTGGATGGAGGGCCAGCAGAAGGCTCCTCCGGCTTTGCATGCAGCATGCAACGGGGACCTCTATTGGGAATCTCTGGAGCTCGCATGGATTCGAAGGTGGGGCAAATGTAGCTGGCACTTTTTAGAACTATTCTCGCGGACATCGGTGTGCCGGCATGCGGGTCGGGCGATATGTTGTCATAAATAAAGCGCGCCAGCTCATGAGAAGCGTCGATGGAGAAGTCGCTGCGAAGGGTGATGTTTTGGGTATTAGAAGCAACAACTTCCGCCAGCCTGAAAACGAGGGATTTATTATTTTGTGTACGGTACTTAGAAAAGGTATGGAATATATTTGTAAATTACGAAAATTTGTTTTCATTTGTTTGATCACACCTTTAAGTTTAAACAACCTCAACAACAACCTCAACGTAGTCGTCTTATTTTGATATATTTAACCATTACTTAATGTCGAAGAACTACAAAATAATTAAAAAACTGCAAAGTTATAATTTTTTTTCATGTATGTTTCCGATTGTTCCTATGGGAGCTATATGCTATATGCGGACATGGCTAGATCTGATCTGTTCAGTGATGCTGATCAAGAATATATATACTTTATAGGGTCGAAAACATCTCCTTCACTGCGTTGCTAACTTCTGACTGAAATTATAATACCCTCTGCAAGGGTATAAAAACAAGAAGAAATTGTGGTTTAAAAAAAAAACGGTGCGTCGTGGTTGACACGATTTTAAGCCTTGTAAAAACCGGAAAAAATTCGAACAAATTCTTTATTAGTAAAAATGCCGCTTTCGGGCTGACCGCCTTAGAAAAATAATAAATAAAAATAACAAAATGGCGTCAACTTGACTTCAACAGAAAATGTTTGTTACCTAATTATGTTCGAACCTTTCGAATATTTTAAAAATATAATATACTTATAATACGTCTTTTCTGTTCAAAAATCTCGGGCAGTAAACTCAGAAAACTAGATTCCTTGAATTAAGGAAAATATGGCCTAATTTTAGGAATAATTGCCTTAATTTGTGCTTTTCATACAACATTTGGGAAAATATGACCTTAAACTAAGTTCAAGGCCATAATTAATTTTGTGTGGAAGGCTAAAATTTAAGACAATTATTCCCAAAATTGAGGCATTTTTTATGAAATTAGTCTATGTTTTCCTTAATTCAAAGAATATAGTTTTCTGAGTGTAAATTATCGCATTTTAAATGGACACCAAAAATCCATAGCCAATAGCTCTGCATAATTTAATGGAGGAACAGGGTTTTTTTTCAAGTTAATCGGGATAAAATTTACAAGGGTAAGCTTTGTTTATACCAATAATGTTCAAAACTTAGAGTTCTTCGCTCAACTCACAATTACAAAGTCGGTGCCCATCACAAAACAAAACTGATGCACCGATCGTTTGAAATTTTGAACTTAGCTCATGGGTAACATTTGGGTAACGTCAAATATGTTAATATTTTCAATTTGAAAATGAAATCGAGCTATTATTTTTGACGTGATTAGCAATTATGTTTTGTTGACGTTAAAAAACTTACAACTTTCTTCATTCGAACAATAGAAGCTTTATTATTTACGAATGGTTTTCAAAACTTTTTAAAATGGCTTACCTTCGCAACAGAACTCCTGTAAAGACAACTCCAGCGCTCAGCATGGGGTATGGGAACCATTGCGGATCCTTGTAATTCGAGAAATGGTGTATGATGGTGGCCTCCGAGTCGTACAATGCATGGCCGTGGAAGGAGAGCTGAAGGAGGGACGTCCGTACAGGCCACATGTCTCGGCTCCAGGTGGAAAACTCACCTCCATTGGGTCCTGGCGACGCAGCTGCTCGAGCAGGCCGCGCAGCGAAGACACACGCGTGTTGTGCTGACACCATATAATCCATTCCGTGCGCGCACCCAGCAGACGTGTCTGGCCTTGTAGATGTGGGAGTGCGTCCAGCAGGGTCCAGTAGTTGAAGAGTTCGTGCATCACATAGACCCTGAGGGTATAGTCCCCGGGGAAGATCTCCGCCAGATCCAGTTGCCGATGCTGTTCCCGTACATTGTCGGACAAGGCGAAGCACTCATCTCTGGCCTGGCGGGGAAGATGAGGGCAGGCGATGACCAGGAGTACCTCCCTTGGTTCCACTCTGCCCCAGCACAGGCCCACGAAAAATAACAGCCCCAGCACCGCACACTTCCCGGAAGTCATTTCTAATTCTCTACGATTTCAATGCGCCTGATTTCTTCCAGATTTTTTTTAAAATACTTTTGAATTCCAACAGGCCAACGGGACACGACTGTCCTAATGAACGTGCGAAATCGTACTGAGGCAACTGTGAGTCCATTTTGGCGCAAAGCCGAAATGCTTCTTCGCTTGGGGGAAAGAAAAAAAGCGGACTTCGGATTTTACGTGCGTAGTCCAACGCGCAGACGCCTGCAAGGACATGGTTTCATGAATGAAGCACTAGATGCATGCAACAGTTGGCCACCTGTGGCAATGCTGAAAGGTCTTGACAACACCTCAGGTCAATTGGTGAAACCAATTGTAACAGCAGAACTTTGACAGGGCGCAGTTTATTATATAAACACATGTGTTTATTTTGATTCGAACAATTAAAGCGAGAACTCCCCCAATTTGTTTTCCTTTTTATACCCTTGCAAAGGGTATATATTCTTGATCAGCATCACTAGGAGAGTCGATCTAGCCATGTCCATCTGACCGTCCGTTTCTACGCAAACTAGTCTCTCAGTTTTAAAGCTATCTGCATGACACTTTCCCAAAAGTTGTCTTTCTATTGCAGGAAGTACATAAGTCGACTATAAGGACGACTATAGCATAAAGCTCCCATAGGAACAATCGGAAAAATAAATGAAAAAAAATTAAAAGTTTGCTGTTTTTAAAATTTTTTTAGTTCTTTGACATATAGTAATGGTTAAATATTTTAGATTTACGGTTCAAATTGCATCAAAAACAACTAAAACTTAAAGCCTCCATAGGAACAACAAAAATGTATTTTGAAAAAATGTAACTTTTCAAATTTTAATTTTTTTTTTTAATTATTTTTGAGTTATTAATAATTTGACAGTTCAGAATTACGCTTTTAATTTTATTAAAATCAGAAAACGATATCATATAGCTGCCATAGGAACTATAGAATATTTGAGCTGCAAATCATCATAGCTTCAATTTTTGTAAGCATATACATACGCAAGTAAATCATAATTTTAAAGTTTTCAAGAATGTTTAATTTTTGAACTAGCTGCAAGGGTATATGAACTTCGACTGGCCGAAGTTTGCTTCCTTTCGTGTTTAAACTAATTTTTTAGAAAAGGTTACGCATTTGACATTAAAAGAATATAACAGACGTTAATATTAAATAAAGAAAATAAACTTAAAACTATTATATAAATGTTACTAATATTGCATATTTATTTGCAATATTTAACGATGTAAATTTATGAATTACAATTTTATAATGTTATCAGCTGAGCCTGAAACTCACTCAACGAAAGTGAAAGTTTTTTGATCCGAGAAGTACTCTGCTCTTCCAACTCCAACCTACAACCGTCTATTTGCCTCTCACTGACGAACAGATTACGTCGATCTGAGTACTCGGCTTTATGATGAACGTGTGTGTCAAGTTTGAAATATACTTTCTTTTTTTTATTTATTTTATTAAATTAGAAAATTTAAAATTTCAGTGCACACTCTCAAAATGTGGTGTTTAGCTTAACCAGTAATGGAGCAAAGGAAGATCAACAATTTGAAATTGTATTATTGGTTGACTGGAAATTTTGTTAAAATATTCTTGAAATTTTTTATATTTATTTAAAATTCCAAAAATGGGATTGTCAAAATTGCAAGCCTTATATCCAATCTAATTTAGTACCTACCTGCAAAAAAATAAAAATACGCAAATATGATCCAGATATCTTTAAAACCGAAACTAGTTTGCGGGCATTGCTTAGAACAAAAGCTTTACATGGCCAAAATATATCCCATTTCCGAAAAAACCTAATCTTATTGTTCGATTTCTATTTCACTTGATGTGTAACTGTAAAACAATTTGAATAATTTTAAATAGCATTTATACAGAAAATGATTCTTACTCGTAGTTGTGAGAAAATTGAGAGAAACTTAGAACAGGGGATTTAGTTACTTTAGAAACAACTTGTCTAATAAGAAGACATTTGTATTCAAAAAAGCATTTCTTGCATTTGGAATTGTTAACATTTAGTAAGCTAATGCGTACATATAGAGGGAAATTAAAAGGAATACTATTAATGCATAGGCGAGGCCAGTCGCGTTGTTGTCTGCATGTTGTTGCTTCGGTTGTTCGACTTGAGTCGCAGCTCATTGACGTGTTTAAATAGTTGGTCCTGCTTGGACAGCAGCTCTCTGGTCCGCTGGCATCCGTGCTGGGGAGCGCATAGTCCGGGGTTCCAGCGGCAGTACAGGCCCTTCCACAGGCGGACGCACCGCACGCTGGCGATGGGGCGCAGCACCAGCTCGGCCCCGTGCGTAAAGGAGGGGAATAGTGGATTCAGAAACTGATCCAGCGAAGAGTTGATATACGTCCACAAGGATGTTGTCTTATGCTTCAGATCTGGAAAAAATATATGTGAAGGGTTTCTATGCAAATGCAAAAAGAACTAGTGCTCACCTTCGGCCACACGCTCGGCTTCCGTGTTGCAGAGGAAAGTGCCGAATCGGCACGAATACAAGTGATCCACGATTGTGATCAGGAAGTGCTCGTTAAACTCAAACGCGTTGTTAAACTGCTGGCTGACCTGCCACACGCTGTCGATGAACTGCAGGAACACCGGCGATCTGTCCGCATCCGAGTGCTTGTTGTCGCCGTGACCGACGCGTTGCTGGAACTTGTGGCCAAAAGAGAGCCACTCCTTTTCAATAAGCACCTCAAAGCCACGTACAGTGCGGTAGTGGGGATCGAGCAGCAGCATGGATAGGGCTGTCAGCTGGGCCGTGCGATCCCAGCCGTCTGAGCAGTGTACGACCACGGAGGTGCTCATGGTTTCCACCTTGTCCACAATTCTGACCGCCCCGGCCAGAATGCACCGGATGTGCTTCAGCCATAGGGTATTGTCGATAGCTGTCTGCCACTTTGAGTCGTCGGTGGTGGGAAAACAGGCCTCCTTCACCTTGCGCAAGCTTTCCCGCATCACATGGATGTTGTGGATATCGAGAAAGTTTATTTCCACGTTCTTGTACGCGTCCTCTGACTCGTAGCCGCCGCCCTTGGCCTTGTTGGCAATCGCATTGGCGCTGGGCCGTGCGTCCATAATAGTCAACTTGTCCGACTGTGCGTTTGCCTCCATGATGAAGCTGAGGTAGGCCTCATCGTCTGCATTTCGCTTGCCACTCACGCCCACCAGGGGCTGGGAGCACCTCGTGATAGTCGCCTGGGTCCGGGGGTTCATCCAGGACAGCACCGGCAGGCGGCATCGGGAGCGAAACTGCGCCACGCGTCTCAGGAAATCGTCGGATGCCGCCTTAGGCACAGCCCACACGGCCGGATAACTGTCGCAAATGGCGTAGGATTCGTTTAGCTTGGTGGCCCGCCACATGTCATTGGGAACGCCCAGGCGCCGCAGTTCCGCCAGCGGCTCATACACAGCCCATCCGTCCCAGCCGCTGCTTCCATTCACCGAGTTGGCCGCCGCATGGGCGAAGGCGAAGAGGCGTCCACTGTACGAGAGCGGAAAGGCATTTGCCTGCAGCTTCTCGAACACCGTCCTGCGCGAGTGGTTCTGCTGCTTGTGGGCGAATCGCAGGTTCCGCATGTCCTTGCAGAAGATCTCGATGCCGTACGAATTCTCGCCCCGCGACGTGGCACCCCCGATCTTCTCGACACGCGCTATCACGCCCAGGGGCACGTCGACAACCACTGGCGGCTCCTGATCCCGCAGAGGCAGCGAACGGAAGTAGAGGCGGTAGTTTGTGATGGTCAGGGCCCCGAATACGGGGCCGCGATAGGGGCACACGTAGGTCACATCGTTCTTCTGGTCCTGGTCCTCCTCGCCCTCCAGATAGCCAAAGGGCGTGTCACGCAGAACGCCGTTCTCCCCGCCTCCGTGCTTGGAGCCCAGCGAACTGGACTTGGAGCTGCTGTCCAGCGAGTTGCTGCTGGCTGTCTTGGAGGCCAACTTGTCTGTCTGGTTCGCGGAGAAATCCATGGTGGGATGGACACAAGCAGTGGTTGGGACTTCTGTTGCTATTTGCGCAGCTGTGTTTTCTAAATGTTAGCTAAATGCAATTCACCAAAACTCATGCAACTGGGCTGCCAACTCGTGGGAATCAAAAATACCAAATTTCCCATATCAGCTAATTTCCCTTCTCTCGGAAAAAAGTACCAATGGACAATTTTGTATTGGCGCGAAAGTTGACATTTTTTAAACTGATATCTAAACCTGAATTCATTTAGCTTACAGTTCATAAAAATTAAGGTTCGGATTGTGTCATTACTTTCTAGACCAAACCATAAGACCTAAACTAATGAAACGTTTATTAAACTCGATATTTATTTTTGTTCTTAATTAGTATATGACCTCTATTATAACAAAAATTGTAGATTAAGTTGTGAAAGACATAATTTATGTTAAGAGACTTTCGTACGGAAAATAAACAATTTTCGATATCGTCGATTTTTATTTTACCCTTACAAGGCAACGGTTTATGTCGTTATGTCGGAGATAACAGAAGCTAGTAGCGTATTTCCACAGAGATCCATCCACCATCCGTTGAAGGGTTGGTCCATAAGGTTTTGCCGTTCCAAAAAATTCCCAGTTAGTCCGCCGTTAAAATTTTACGGAATTTGACGGACATTAGTCCAATGTTCTTGTTTCGGCAGACTCGCTGGTGGCCGGAAAATGAATTTAGGGTCATGACCATGAGACCACATGGGCAGCAAAACCGAAAGTCCTTGCGGTTACACGCTGCCACATGGGCCTCATATTCTGACCCTGTCACAAGTTTTCGGCACTCCAGACACTGGTCTCTTCGACTCGGAGCTAAAACCAGCGAGCCTGCCTTACGAAGATCGGCAATCAACTCGTATTGCCGAGCTTTTTCGGCGGATTTTTTTTGTCTACTGAGGACCGACCCCGTTTTCCTTTTGTTTTTTTATCTATTTTATTATTTTGTGTTTTCTTTTTATTATTATTTATATTATTATAAAGTTCTTCTTTATATTCATTTTTTATATTATTTAGTTCATAATTATATTTCATTTCTAAATTATTAATTATATTTATTATTTCATCATTATTGTTAATAGATTTATTAAGTTTAATATTTTTTTGTTCATTATAAATTTTTGTTTTTTTAGTTTCAATATTATTATTATTTATTTCATTATTATAATCATTATTCCTATTAATATTCTTATTTATTATATTATTATTATTATTTTGATAATTAATGTTATGATTAACAGCGGCTTGTAATATATTATTTTGGTTATTGAAATGCCCTATGAGCATTTTCAAAGGTAGATGTTTACTGCTTGACATCTTGAAGCAAAAGGGAAGACATCGACACCCAGGATGACCAAATATGTAAGTTCAATTGCTAAAATGACTTTAAAAAGTTCTCTCTCTCTCTCTTGTTCTTACTATCTGATTTGTTTACATTTCATTTATGCACATAAGCGGTCGGAAGAAATTACAAATCTAAAAAATTGTCTGGTAAGAGTGAAACGGGGAAATCCAAATTTGTCGAGAAATCTGTTGATTGCTAACAAAGTGCTTATTGTGTGTTTTCAGAAGATGGATGTACTGAAGCTTAGAATGTTTAACCAATCGACCGTGATGCAAGCGCGCGCAAAATATTATTTAATGCTGATCGCTGGGTTTTTCAAGTGCATAAAATATTTTATGTATCACTTTCCACGCTCAAATACGATTTATTTAAGCTAAGGTCATTTGTTATAAATGGGTTAATAAAGACCCTGCAGACTGATTTCGTAAATCATTCGCTTCTTGTATTGAAGTTAGACTTAACGATAAATATGATTAGAAATCACATGTCAACTTTGTTATGTTCTAGCAACAAGTAATTTTAAAAGCTCTGTCTCTAAGCTTATCCGAATTACTTTAGGCGCCATACAAGGGACCTTGACCAACATTTTTTTTACCGCTACGATCTGTCTCTAGTCTAGGCGAAGTTGCGTGTCCTAACAAACGCATGTGACGTAAAGTTATGCCGGCAACACAGTAACATTTCGCGCAGTTCAGAATTACAAAAGGAATTAATTGCTTTAAACATGGTGTGCTGCAAATCTATTGGACTATAATAGCGCTAAATGCAAGTAATGACCTTTTCTCGGGTCAATCCACTGTACGCCACGTATACTTAAGGTAGTTAAAGGTGGTTGTCTTTCTGGACCAAAAACATACGTTTCTAACAGTATTACTTCAATGGTAAATAAAGCTAGGGGAGGGTTTGGATTTATCAAAAGGTGGTCGAAGGAGTTCGAACATCGGAAGGCATTTATATTAATATCTGACGCTTCCTCAAAAATTGGATAAAACATTTACTTTCGACGGAACAAATCAATATATGTGACAAGCTGATAAATCATGCAAATGCAACTATTTATATATTTTAAATTTATTAGACTAGTCACCAGCCGCGTCTTCTTTCAGCTTAGAACGCATCGATTGTGTAACTTGAAACATCGGACCATGTCCTGGGACAATAAAGTCGCAAACTTGTGCCATTTTACTACGCTCCTTACGCTGCAGCGTCTCACTTTCGCTTCCAGCATCCTTCCAAATGCTCTCGTCGTCAATGTCTTCGGCTCGCTCGAAGAGATCTCCGGTGATACCCACCCGTCCCCCCAACTGGGAGTTGGACACGATCACGGAAACGCAGCCGAGAGTGTGTCCTGGTGACCTTCTCACTACCACCTCGGCATGGGAGTCCAGCACCAGTTCCTCGTCCTGTTTCCCACTGCCAAAGTGATCCATGTAAAGATCACGATGCGAAGCGCACGCGCCGACTAAATGCATCCGTGCCTTCTGAAACAGATAGTTGCCCCCGACGTGGTCCGAGTGTCCGTGGGAGCATATCACCACCTGAATGTCCCCGACGCCCAGGCCATGTTCGCCTAGCAGCGCACGCAGGTGCTCTCCATCCCAGGCCGTCATTGTGTCCACTATAACGTTGGTGCCATCCCTGCAGCGGACCAGTGTGCAGGTGCAGTTCGCTCTCATGGCGGACTCGTCTCCGTCTTCTTGACGAGAGTAACCGGCCTGGAGCACGATCACCTGGTTCCGCTGTGAAGGCTCGTTTAGTGCCATTATTTAGTTAGGCATAACAAAACAAAACATATTTACTAGAGGTGGAGAAACATCGATAGAAACATCGATGTTTTTAAAAATGTTGAGAACATCGATGTTTTTTGGCTTTACCGCATCAGGAACGTAAAGAAAGATCGAATTTTTAAATTAAATTATTAAGTGTATTGATATTGAGCTGGTGGTGAAGAAAACGGTGGTGGTTCCTTAGACATGGAGAAATTGATTTTGTTTTTGTTTACCATTACAAGAAGTAAAAAATGTACCACTTATAGCATATTTCCACAGAGATCCATCCATCTTCCACCATCCGTTGAAGGGATGGTCCATGAGGTTGTGCCGTTCAAAAACTTCCCAGTCAGTCCGCCGTTAAAATTTTACGGACTTTGACGACTAATTTATGCGATAGTTAGCCGATGTTTCTGCGGTTCAGCCCTATTCCTACGCAGTCCATCCCTGAAAAACCGTTGAGATTTTTGAAAAAAGCGAAACTCCGATTTCCACTCTTGTTTTCAGCCATTTTTATGCAATAAAGTTTTTATATTCAAAAGAAATCAAAAATTGTGCCATCCTTGCATACAAGAACCAGCTGTTGTAGACTACCCTCGGAATGGAATCAGGCTGTTAAACATTTTGGGACTACCTATAGTACCTTTTAGCGAAAACTAAATCTAAACAGATAAGCTTCCAAAATACTACTTCCCGTTAAAACTGGAATTTTGAGTAAAATTCTTAAAACAATTTAAATAGTTTCAATAACAAACTTGTTAATTTTAAACTTCTTAAATGTTAATGATATTTCATAAAAATGCACAATGAGAGACAAATGTAGGGGGATTTTCATGAACGTTATCACCCAATTGTTGCAAATTCAACAAAAAATCGTGCCTATTGAAATTGCTGACCCGGATAACTGACTTATTTTACAATTTAAGTAGTAAGAAATGAACAATTTCGTTTTCAAGGTACATAATGCGGTGTTAAAATATTACCAAATATTACATAGAAAAAAATAAAAACAGCTTTGGCGTTCAGCGGTGCAACTAGAGGTTGTTGAATTGCTGAAATATCTGTCGTTTACCCAAATCCGTTTCTTAAAACTCTAAGATTTTGAAATCATAAAAAGTTAAGTTTAGTATATATTTTACTCTAGTGTAAACACTGTTAGTTTGCATTTATTTTGGCCACCTGGCAACACTGAGACCAGCTGATTGCAAACCATTTCACATGTTTATACGGCGCAATTTTGTTATTATTTAACGTTTTCTGAATAAGCCACATATAAACCACCATGTATCTAAACCAGCTCCCGCGGGCACAATGGAAGTACCTGCAATATCTTTTACAAGTGCGTCAGCTTCAGCTCCTCAGGAGGCACATAAACATTGGCGCAAAACCACCCATACAAACAGCGAATCGGCTGCCGGCAAGAAGACGCGTGCACCTTATAAATGGAGATCTCCAGGACAGATTCGTTGCATTTCGGAATCAGGATGCCCTTCTCAACAGGCTGAAGGAGGCAAAGACGACTGACCAGCTTTTGGAACTGTTGAAAAGCAGCGACAACCTGCAGGGTGCCCATGTGGCGGAGGTGATTTCCCTGCTCTGGCAATCCTATCAATGCATGGACCAGCTGGAAAAAGAGGCCCTCACTGAGCGCGTGCTAAAGGAAGCGCTGCCGATGCTGGTTCCTCATATAGGCCAACTGGAGGTCAACGATCTCAGTCGATGCTACCTATACCTGCGGAAAATGCACATATCCAATTCCGAGCCAGTCGTGGAAGCTGTGCTAATGAGGGCTCTTGAACTGATCGAGGGTCAAGTTCATGGTGAGGCCATTCCCTTGACTGCTCTGTCCCGCCTTTCGGTAGGAATAAACCTGGAACGCGACTTCTTTACCCCACTCGTGTGCATTAACTTTGTGCCACACCTGGACAAACACATATGCCAATGCCACAGCGAAGAACAGGTGCGTCTTCTGTCTACGTGCCTTTTCCAGCTGCACTTTCTAGTCGACGATGAGCTGCTTTCGCGCTTTAAGGAGCGAATAAGTGAAATGCTGCAAAGTGGCGTTCTCAGCAGCAAAACCCCAAAGGCTCTACTCAAGGTGCTCCACATGCTAAATATTCCATTGTGGTCACAGCATCACACCCAATTGATTCGGGAGGTAATGCTGGCCTTGCGACCCTGCATCCACCAGATGGAGTCCGCGGATCTAAAGAGCATATGCCGCGCCTTTCTTCACCATCAGGAGCCCGCTGCACTGAGAGAGCCCCTCAAGGAAGCCACGGAGAAGCTGCTGCAGGAAGAAAGCACGGCTGACGCCCTGTCCTGCGCAGTTCCTTTTGCAACGCCACTGCAAAGGGATAAATGTGCACAACTTTTTCGGACTCTACTGTACTCCGAGGATGCATGGCTTCTCCCCAATGCGAGCGGACACTTTTTCAGTGTTCTTCGTGCATTGAAGATCTCGGACTTAGGAATATGCAATACATACTGGTCGGGTGTTATACGGGAGCTGGAGTCCTGCCAGGAGGAGCAAACGCATCTCCGGTTTTTGAGACACTGCCAGCGCTACATGAACTTCAATAACAACCTGGGCGGAACCTACCGTCATTTCGAACTGGAACGAAAGTTGAGTCGCATGTGCATGAAGGCCGTGGAGGAGGACATAGCGGGCAGGCTGCCGCCGAAGTTTGCGCGCCTGGCAGCCTTTGTGCTGGCCTACGGACAGACTCCGTTAGCCTGGAAAAAGTTCCCCAATATTCTGCTTAGCAAGATGCTTGCCATGGCTCCTCAGTTTGCCATCCAGGATTGCTTTCTTCTCAGTCGAGGAATGCAAATAGCCTGCGAATTGAGGTTTCGGCAGCATCTTCCGTCACTTGCTGCCATGCAGCTGTCTACAATGGACAGCATCCTCATCGACTGTGCGGAGCGGCACTTAGCCAATGCCGAGAAGGATCCGCTGAGTGCCAATGACCTCAGCATGATTGTGAGAACACTCAGTCATCGCAAGAGTAAGTAAAAGAAGTAGAAAGTAAACAACCTTCGGCTAAACGTAATTATTATTGGATAGCATTGTTGCAAAAATATTTATAATTTTTGCATATTTCATTTCTAAAAAAAAATAGGAAACGGTTTTATTTAATTTAAGAAATTGATACAACAAAAAAAAAATTTAAACAACAAAAAAAAATTTAGTTGTTTAAGATTTATTAACCTTTAAAAATGTAGGGTACCCGAAAGTAACTCTGAAGCAAAGTGTCCCGTTGCGAAAAAGCTCATGATTTTTTTTAAGTTTTTGTCGATAATTTAATAATTTAATTTAATCAATTTTAATGACTTCAAAAACATTTCTATAAGCTAAGTATTCATCGCGTTTCACTAGGTTTTTTAACTTGTAATTTAGTATTGCATGAACTTGCATCTTAAAAAAATATGCCAAAAAAAATCGCCCAATGAAATTATTTGAAATGTTGGCATAAATTAACTTAATGTATACTAAAACAGGCACCATTCTTGTTTTAATTATTAAAAAAAAAGGACTTTTGGCCCAATCTTAGGCTTGCTTGGCCCAGTGTGCATTGTAAAAATATATGCTAGCTTAAGAACTGGGAGCTCTAACAGCTTAACCTTACAGCTGGCAAAGAATCATTATGTGTTTGAAGTTAAATTAATATATTTATATGCCATTTTATAGAATAGTTTTTTATTTTTATACCCTTGCAGAGGGAATTATAATTTCAGTCAGAAGTTTGCAACACAGTAAAGGACACATTTCCGACCCTATAAAGTATATATATTCTTGATCAACATAACTAGGAGAGTCGATCTAGCCGTTTTCGTCTGTCCGCCCGTTTCTACGCAAACTAGTCTCAAAGTTTTAAAGCATGAAACTTTCCCAAAAGTTGTCTTTCTATAGCAGGCATAGTATATAAGTCGGTACGAGCTGGATCAGCATATAGCTACCATAGGTACAAAAGGAAAATTAAATGAAAAAAAATTATAAGTTTGCTGTTATTAATTTTTTTTAGTTCTTTATTATTTCAGAATTAAGGTTTAAATTTCATAATAATCGGACGAATATAACATAAAGATCCCATGGGAAAAATAAAAATATAAAAAAAAATGTAACTTATGTAACGATATCAGGGAGATGCCATAAGAAATATAAAATAATTTAGCTGCAAATCATCATAGCTTCAATTTTTGTTCGAAATATACGCAAGTAAATCGTATTTTTAATGTTTTCAAGAAGATTTAATTTTTGCAATAGCTGCAAGGGTATATGAATCTCGGCTTGCCGAAGTATGCTTCCTTTTTTGTTTATAGAAAAGTTAGCTTTTAAGTCAGCAGCAGATTTTTTAAGATGGCTTGACTGGATTATCTAAACAAACTAACTTACCCTTTCAAACCGATTGGCTTTTAAAAAAGCTTTTATTGGCTAATCGTTCATAACTCCAAACTGATGATTTTGGATTGGCTTGAAAAATTTACAAATTCACACATTTTTATTTAGCTTCAGCAAGAAAAGTTTCCAAAAGCAAAGAAAAAGCTGAATTAGTTATCAATATTAAAATAACTTAACGAAACCGCTTCGTTTTTGGTTTCATGTAATTGTTTTGAAAATTATCTCAAAATGAGTCAAGGTCATAATGAGCCTTGTCTTATTTTCACGTGCTTAAGATATTTTGGCCATAATTGGAATGTCCATATGATAGTGTACGCTTGACATCAAATTTTATACTTGCTCTGAACTAAACCACTTTTTTTGTAACGACCTGACCAACGCAAGAAAAAATTGTTCCAGGGTTCTGAAACATGTTCTTAAAAATTTTTGATAGTGACTTCCAAAAATCTTTAATTTGAGACATACAAAAAAAGTCGTTTAATGGAAAATATTCTCTTTCCGTTCCACAGCTCTAAAAAACACGATGGTGTACAACCAAGCGCTGTTGCAGTACAAAAGTCTTCACTGCAAAGATCTCAGTTCCAGGGTGGTTCGAGACATGGCCTACAACTTTAACGCATCGCATTTCTTTGTTCCCGAGCTTTTGGAGTCCATGTTCGACTATATTTCCGAACAGCATAGTCACATTACCGGCGACACAGTAGAGAAAGTGTTAACTTGTTCTTATAATTTAGGCTATACACCTGCCTCCCTAGAAGCTTTGGATCATGCATCTGGAGTGTTGATAAGGTAGGTAAAATTATGCCTAAAGGCAGATATTTAATTTAATGCATTTTAGAGACTTTGAGCAGATGAGTGGATTGTCGATTGTCCAAGCATGTCTAGCGTTGTGCTTCTACAAATCCATACATGAGCAGCTGATAAATCAAATATTTTGCGTGAAGTTCATTCAGCGCATTGAGGATGAAATTCAGGTCTGCTACTCAAAGGCGACCTATCCGGAACGGGTCCTTAACCTAGTTATGCAGCTAAATCGCACTGTGTGCCTGGATTTTCCCGAGGCGAATGTTCCCTGGTTTCAGCAGAACTACATAGAGGCTCAGCTTAGCAAAAGTAAATATACTGTTTTAATTTCTTTTTAACAATCTGAATTAACAAACTGTATCAGATTCCTTGTTTACAAGTGGACCCACCAAAGAAGTTAAGCAGCTGCTGCAGAAGCTTCTTCAGAATGATAATCATTTCCGTTGCAATCACACCACTCCTTACGGCTACCAAATAGACTTCGTGATACACTTCGATCGGAATAGGAAACCCATCCCAGCACCTCCCGTGGAGGCGACCATGTTGGACCGCATAACGAAGTCGGCACCCATACGCAAGTAACCTAATTGATGCATATTACTCACAGTAATTATTTCTAGGGTGGCAATACTTCTGCTCAAATTTGACTCATTTTGCGAGAACGATTTAACTGCTTTGCGAGGCCCGGAATCTTTGAAGATGAGACATTTAGAAATGATGGGCTACAAGGTAATGCAAATAAACATACACGACTGGAACTCCAAGTATATGGCATCGTCAAAAGCCAAAGAAAACTACCTTAAGTGCTTGTTAAAAATTTCACATTAGTTTTGATTAAAGGTTACGTTAAGTTTAAGATACAAAAGTAAAAGTTACAAAAGTTTATTAGATGTATGTATACAAATTATGTTTTGTATTGTAAATTGCAGTTAGAATAATAATTGAACAAAATGTTGAATGTATTCAAGTGTTTCGTATACCCGTTGGACTTCAATTGGTCTGACCGACACACCAATTGTAGGCGTTGCTAAACATAATCTGCCAAGGACTCTCCGCCTGCGTTGGGGAAACCTCGAAGGATGGTGGCACATAGGGCCACTGATACATGGCGAAACAACGCTCAGGATGTGGCATTAGGGCTAGATGACGTCCATCCGCCGAGCAAAGACCGGCTATTCCCCGAGGACTGCCGTTCGGATTGAGGGGATAGAGCTCCGTTGGCAAGCCTGCATCGTCAACATACTGCAATGTGACCAGTTCTTCCGACTCCAGTTGGTTTAAGAGCTTTTCCTCCCGGAATGCAAAACGACCTTCTCCGTGAGCCACCCAACAGCCCAGAATCAGATCCTTCAAGCTTTCGAGCATTATAGAGCGATTGGCTGGAATCCTCACCGTGGACCAACGGCATTCGAATCGCTGCGATTTGTTATGGAGCAAGGCTACTTCAGGATCTACACCCACTTCACAGCCCGGACTTCCAACAAATCCAATGAGAGTCATCAGTTGGCACCCATTGCAAATGCCTAAAGAAAAGACATCTTGACGGCGCTTAAAGGCATCAAACTGAGGCAGCAGTCGAGGATTGTGGAGAATGTTTGCTGCCCAGCCCTTGGCAGATCCCAAAGTGTCAGCATAGCTAAATCCACCCGGGAAGATAAGTCCGCGGTATTGGGACAGATTTGTGGTACCTGAAACGAAGGCATATTTCGATTACTTGAATCTTTACACTCAACTTCACGAAAAAGAGGTCGAGTCGGAATTAATGCTAAGTCGAATGCGCCGATTTCGCGCTACCAACCTGAAACACGGAAAACCATTACAAAAAGTGACTTAAACAAATATTTATTCTAATATTTATTTCATAAAAAAGTGAAAGCCGGCCAAATTTTGAAACCTGCTACATTATAATTGCCCACAATTCTCTTTTTCCTTCTACAGGGTGGCCCACGAAAGATTTGCGTTTTAAAATCGCTATAAAAAAAACAACGGCCTCTTACATAAATTCTATAAAAACAATCTAATTTGCTATAACTGCGGTGAGGATAAACTTGTATTAATTGCTAAGAAGGTGGAGAAGACTTGAGAGCCAACTGTTATCTAACAAATACAACACTAATACCTCCTCCCTTATTCAATTATTTAAATTCATCTTTATCTCAAAAATTGAGTACTGCTTACCCAATTAATTAACCGTCAAAAAACAACTCAGAACTCTTTAATAAGAGCAGTAGTAGTCACAATTACCCAACTTAAAAATACAAAATGGAAAAAATATTAAAAAATTATAACAGATCCAACTCCTCTCCAACTATCTTCAAACAATTGTTCAATCCTTAAAGAAAAACTTTTCTAAAATTGGTCTCTTACCTCACTATTCCTCAGTTTAATCGAACATATTAATAGTCGTTTACGAAGCTGTTAAGATCGCTCTACAACAGTGGTCGGCAAATGCCTATCTCCGGAGTATAGGCTCAGACCAACTCGGCAGAGCAGCAGCAGCGCGGCGGTAGAGGCCGACACGAACAATATAAAACCGCACCCACACTGACAAGTTTCGCCGTGCAAATTACTCACTCAAAGAAACGCGAGTATGTGCGCGACCACTGCTCTACAAGCCCCATGTAAACACGCAATCTGCACAGACACCCTCTCAGTCACTAGCTAGCTTTTAGTTTTAAACCTAGCTTTATAAAAAAAAATATAAAAAATCCTTATCATTTTTTCTACAACATTGTACTTATCATAGAATATTAGTTGTTAGTTGGTTTTTTTATACACAAATTTCAAATGAAACATTTAATTTGATATACGAAAAGTTTCAAAACCCCAACATCATCCCCAGAATATGTTTGATTGCTTACCTTGCAAAAGATCCGACATGGTCACATCGTGCACCTCGAAGTTAGCTTTCAGCAAGCAGGCCATCATCTCACGCTCACTGTTGACGCCCTCCTCACGGAGCACGGCGACGCGAACTGGGGCGTTTGAGCGCTTGAGGGTTAGCTCGGCCTGTAAATTCAAGGGACCCTTGTATCGCGGGGCTTTGCGATACTCAAGGCTATTGTACTCCGCCTTGGCGCACTCCGGGTTAGTCTGAAGCTTTTCCAGTTCATAACTGGTGCGCTCCCACTTCTGGTAGAGCGAGCGAAGGGGATGGTTTAGCAGTAACGACACACCATGCTTGATTTCCACTCGGGAATCGAGTCCGAATCCGTCGGTAACGCCCAAATAGTAATTTGGTACTCCGGCATCTTTGTAGGTGGATCGGACTCGCTCCAAATCCGTCTCCAGTACTTCCACAACCCATCCACACTCCTCCGCGAAGAGAAGAGCAAGCTCGGGACGATTGAGTTCCTCGGCAGCTGCACTGTAGTTCTGTAGTTTGGCCAAGGGCTCCGATAGGTCCACCCTAAGGCCACTCAGCCCGCCGATCGCCATCTCCACAAGACAAACGATCAATCCGCCGTCGCTAACATCGTGTCCAGCCCTAAGTAGACCTTCTCCCAGCAACGATTGGGTGACCGCAAACGCCGCGCTCAGCAGATCACTTCTTAACAGGTTAGGCGACTCCTTGCCCTGTTGGGCGTATGCCTGAGCCAAAGCCGAGCCGCCCAGACGAAGGCTGTTCTCCAGATTTATCCATAGCAAGGCCGTCTTGGTGCCCGCGCCGGGACCCTTCAGATCAGGTGTAACCCTTAGTCGCACATCCGGACAGGGAGCGTAGGTTGAGATAACCAGAGTGCCAGGGGACTTTATTGTCTCGGAACCCACCTTGGCAGCCATGGACAGGGAGTCCTTACCCCCGTCGATGGCAATATGCAGCTCCTCGAGAATCTTGCACAGCTCCTTGCAGGCGTCGAACATCTTTGCTCCCTCTCCGGGCAGCTTAGCAGCCCACATCCAGTTTCCCGAACACTTGACGTCCGCCAGTTCGGTTATCTTCACGAAGACAAGGTTGCTAAGCGCCTCAGCCACACACATCCTGGCCATTGCGGCGGGATCAAGCAGACCCTTGAGTGGTTGGGTTCCAATTGAGGTGGCGATGCCGGCAGTGCTAAAGTGGGATACGGTGGTCAACGCGTAGTCCGAAAGCGGAGCCTGCAGCGGACCCACACACTGTTGCTGCACAATCAGCCCTCCAACGCAGCGATCCACCTTATTTGTGAGGAAGCGCTTGCTACCCACTGACACCAAGCTGAGAACTCTCTCCAAAGCGTCGTCCAGGAGCAAGTCCTTCGGCAGACTCAATTCCTTTAGTGGCTGCGACTCCCGGCTTAACTCATATCTTCTTTTGGGCATATCGCCTAGGACATACTTTAGCTCCAAGTCAAACGGTGAGGAAGTGCTGGAATCACAGGCGTTCAGAGCCTGTTCCATATCCTTGGGGGCAGCTTTCTCCAGGAGCGTCACTCGCCCATCCCCCGTCACAACTCCTACAAAGCTAATTGGGCAGCGTTCACGCCGGCAGATCTGCTCGAGCAGTTCGCGATGCTCCGCCTTGCAGAGAATGGCGTTGTTTTCCTGGTACTCGGCACCCCACAGCTCCAAGGCCGTGATTGTGGGATCGCCCAGTTGAAACTCCTTGGAGAAGATAACGGCTCCCGCGAAGCCAGGCTCCACAAGTTCTTTCAGAACGTTGCCATTTCCGCCAGCTCCCTGGTCGTGAATCGCAAGTATAGGATTTTGGTCGCCCAGTTCCAGACAGGCGCGAACAACGCGGTTTAGTTTGTTCTCCATCTCAGGGTCTCCCCGCTGCACGGCGTTGAAGTCCAGCTCAGCGTCTCCAGATCCCTGTATCTCAACGGAGCTTGCGGCACCACCACCCACTCCTATTCTGTACACTGGGCCTCCGATCTTGGCCAGCAACTGGCCACGACTCGGCGGCAGCTTTTCGCGCATTGATGCGGGCATGGTGCCTAGCCCACCGCTGAACATGATCGGTTTTATGTACTCATCCCGGTGGCTCGCATCAGCTGCACTGTTGAGTCCGTAGGAGAGGGCGAAGCCGGAGATCACCGGCTCGCCGAACTTGTTTCCGTAGTCCGAGGCGCCATTGCTTGCCTCTATGAGCACCTGAAGCGGAGGTGCAAACGTCTCGGGATATTTATAGTCCGAGGGCTCGTATGGTTGTTTGTAACCTGCATGGTGTGAAATAAAAATAAAAGATTAAATTGAGTATATTTTCCCGTGGCTTGAAAAATTTAAGGGGTAGGGCCCCGGCATAAATTGAGTTCCGCTCTAGAGCTTGATCTGTTTGTTTCATCAAATAACAACGCCTGTCATAAAGAAATCAACAATTTATTTAAGCTCACATTACAGGAGAATTGCCGTCAAATGCGTCTATTTCGATCGAACCGAATAGTTAAATCATAAACAGTTTTTAGCTGACTGAGCAATTTTAATCAAAAATTTTTGTGAGATCTTTGAGTTTACTCGAATTTATTTATTTACTTACTCGCCTTTAAAAACATAGCCGGTTGGATATGGACAAACTTTTCTAGACTGCTTAAGGTTATTATTTAATTTATGTATCTATATTTATTTTTTGGATGGAGAGAGGGCATACGTTTTGTTTAGTACAACAGTAAATCTAAAAAATTCAAAAATGCTTTTTTCGTTTTCTTTTTGTTTTTTTTTTTCAATTACCATAGGTTTTAGTATAGTCCGGGTTGATTCCTATTAATGCTCTCAAAACGTAAACAAAGTCAAGAGGTCAACCATCTTTGTTTACGTTTTCATGAAGCACAGCTGTTCAGATCAGCTGTAATCGGAAGCTGGAAGGTGAACGTGCCTATAATGCTATACAAAATTCATTTAAATATACCTATAAATACTGTCTAAGCCGAAATTAAAATACATAGAGGACTGTAGATTGCAAGAGATTGCAAATTGATTCCATTAAATATATCAATTTTTCAAAGGATTGAAGAAATTGTGTAAAATCAGAGATTTCAGCTTTGACGTCATATTCCAAAGATTCAGATCAGTTGTTATCGGAAGATGAAAGGTGCTCTGTGGAAACCGGGGTTTCACATTGTTGAAAATTTTAACCGCGTCCAACGGATGGACTGCGTGGAATGAGGGCATTAGTTGATGAAAGATAAGTTTGTATAGGAATTTTAATCAAGAACACCCAATTATTATGGAAAAGTACAAATGGTTTGTTGAATTTTTTTTGTTTGGTTTATTATTTCCGAATTACGATTTAAGCTTTGTTAAAATCGGACGACTATATCATATAGTATATCATCATAGTAATGGTGAAATAATTCAGAATTACCTTTTAATTTTATTCAAATTGGAACGGAATATCATATAGCTGCGAATGAAACGATCGAATGATTGAGCGGAAAATCATCATAGCTTCAATTGTTTTTAAAAATAAACGCATATAAATCGAAATTTATATGTCTTAAAGAATATTTCATTTTTGCAATAACTTCAAGGGTATATCAATTTCGGACCGCAGAAGTTTACTTCCGTTCCTGTTTAAACTGAGCTCGGAAAAGGAAGATACAGACTTCTGACCAATTTTATGAAACCCTCAGCAATGGTATAAAAAAAATAGATGCAATACACAAGTCATGGATTGACAAACGTTGGAAAAATCGTACCTCTTTCAAGTCATATAAATTATGTATGCAAATGTTTTTAACTTTGTTAATCAAACTAATAATTAAGTGATTTTTCTTACGTTGGATTTACAATTTTTTTTAGTTTATAACTTTAAAAGCTTTGTTAAAGTTTAAATTTCAAGTAGAGGTAATAAAAGTTTTTCGCAACTACGCAATCATGAATTTGGCCAACTTTTTTTAAATTTGGTCAGGTTCTAGCATTACTATTAAGTTTTTTTGCCCTACCTATTGCCAAATAAAAAGGTAAACTTAAATAGGAATAGGAATGCAGACGCTTCCACCTGAAAAACTGGTATTTCATTAACACTTGAAAAAAAAAATAGCTTACAAATTAACAGTTCAACTGAACCGGAAAACCATACTGCTTACTAAACTGTCGATTTCACTTTGCGAAATAAGTTAATGAAAGGCTTTCGAAAGTGGAATTTGATTCACTCACCTGGAATGTGAAGACATCCAACACAGTAACCGGCTGTGCCGGCGATTGGAACTCCTCCTCTGCCCACGCCTTGAACGTCACGGAGTCGTCCGCCCGTGCCCGTGGTGGCCCCGCTGAAGGGCGCCACTGCCGTGGGCATGTTGTGGGTTTCCGCCGTGAAAATCAGGTCGGACTGCACGCTCTCCAGACGCACTGGCCCGGGAGCAACCACGGAGGTCGGGACTACGGCCTTGTGCTCAAAGCCCACCATGGCGCTACTGTTGTCGCTGAACTTAATGGTGTTGTTGGGGTTCGTGTGGGCCTGTGTGTCCATGATCATGCGAATCAGTGACTTGGGCTGTTCCACCCCATCGATGACCATGCGTCCACGGAAAAACCAGTGGCGCGAGTGCTCACTGTTGCTCTGGGCGCAGTCGAACAGCTCCACTGTTGTGGGATTGCGGCCCAGCTCCTTGGCGAACAAGTCGTGGTAGTAGTTCAAGTCGAACTCGTTGAAGGCCAGACCCAGCGTCTGGTTGATCCGGTCCAGCGCCGGCCGACCCTCCTCCAGCACGGGCACGACTTCCCAGTTATCCCGCCGTTCAGGTAGCTGCTCATCGAAGCTCGCGCTGGGGGTGTTCTTCTCGGTATACAAGCATTGAGTCATTCGGTCGCCTAGCAGAGGAAAGAATCTGGCCGCCATTCGCTCCTCCACGTCCTTGCCAAAGGTCAGAAGGTAGCGGGTCGAGGTCTCCACCCGACGCACCTCGGAGTACCCAAGATTGTGGAATATGTTAACGCAGTTGGTGGAGTAGGGCGTGGAAAAGTTAAAGCGCGGACCGATCTCCAGAAGCAACTGCCCTCGGCTCTCTGCCTGCAGAACGGACTGCCTGGACAGACCTTGGCCACTCGTCAAGGGCTGCTTCACCAGCCAGACTAGCAGCTCTTCCAAGGCCATAGAGTGCGAGTGCTCTGCCAGCCCGCTGTACTCCAAATGGTAGCAACGCTCCATGCGCACAGACAGCACGCCGTCGTCCTCCTCCTGCAGCCGGCGCAGGACACCCAGCTCCTCGGCCTCGCTGTGGGCCTGCACATCATAGTAGCGAAGAATGACCATGTCGTTGGGCTGTAAGAAACGAAATGCGGATCGAGTATATACAGTGCGAGCTCTGTGCCCGCGGAATCGAGAGTGATCTTGGGAAGCCGTTGACAGCCAGTGGGCCGTGCCTACACTGGGGTTATCAACTGGCGGCACCTATGTACATATACCACAGCAGCCGATCGGATTAGGTTACAGCAGATCGAATGGAATCGCATGCAGCAATCGTTGCACTGCCGTCACAACTTGTTTTGCCAGGCTGGGCAATCTGCTGATAAGCCAGCGTAAACATATTTTCCATCACGAACAGCCGTTCGCAACAGGGTAATAATTAAGACCAACTATGTACCTCGAATTAAAGCACAATAACAATAACAATAACACTGAGAGGAGCAGCACGTGCGTTGGAGCTGCTAACTACGATCTCGATCTCTCATTCACCGCTCTAATTTCACCACTCTGTGCCGAGCTTGCCAGTGTTGGGCAACATCCGGCACCAAGCATTTAAATGAACCCGCCAATGGTCCTCCTATACACTTTTTAGACAGCCGCTTAAAATCGCAATAACGAAAAGCCCTATGCGGCTGATAAGACAAGCCGGAATGGAAGAGAAAAGGTAAATTAACCGTGGAGCAATATTTTTTTAATTGGAAATTGAGTTTTTTTGTTTCGCCTTGATTCGCTTAATAATCTTGTTTTTAGCAATGGTGCAAAACAAAAGTTTTTCGACTCTTAGCAAAATACTAAGCGAAAAGATATCGTTCAAATAAATGATTAAATTTTGAGTAATTTTTTTTTATTATTATTTTTTAATATTTTCTATTATGTTTTGACCGATTAAAAAACTTAGAGAACAAATCTTACAGCGTGATTCAATTACCGCATTAGTAAGCTTTTTAAATGCGCCTTATTTCATTGGTGCATTAGCATTAAGTTAATGCTACTCCGACATGTGAATGAGACGGACAGCTGATCTGGGTTTGTTTACTTTTGAATTGTCGCAATTCAAAACAAAATTAATTAAACATCATGAAAATGAGCGAGTTTACGGGAATCTTTAATGCACAGCAGGACATCCAAAATGCCACCAACTTTGACGACATTATTTTTAAAGTCAGCATTTAGTCTGGAGTCCGGCTATTAAATTGTGATATTTATTAAATCACTTATATGATTACGGTCCCCGCTTATGTTCAAATCAGCTGTTATTCGATGGTGGATGTGCTCTTTAAGAATCGGAGTTTCACATTTGTCAAAACTTGTGTGTGTCGATGATATATAATGACTCTTCACTAAATTGTGCGATCATTTCAAATAGATATTCGATCGCGTTCACTTTTTAGGATCCATATTTTTTGGAGTTCTGATTACAAATATATTTTTGACCCTAAAGTAAGCGACAAGAATGATTTATTGTAAAAAACATTAAAGTAAACATGTTTTTTTTGCCATTTTTAAAAAATTGACACATTTTAAAAAATGTTTCAAACAAAAGGAGTATAAATAGCTGAAACAGCCATTTAATAGAATTGTTGAGTAAAGTTAAAATTTAACGAGAATTTAATTACACATAAGTTTTAACATACACATTTAAAGAAGTGGTGTCCACGCGCACAACTCGCGAGTCAGCGAATTATTCTGCCGGCTCGCTGCCGAAACCGACAGTGTAAACGATCATGTGGCTTCGGCAAGCGTCTTCGGTTTAACGCACACAAAAATTATTAATAATCTGGGTATTCCCGTAACGTCTGAATCTCTGAATTGCTGAAAACTCACCAGAAATATACTGTAATTTGGTCAACTGTTCGTCAGCCATACAAAATTCAGCATGCGGAAATTTCAGGAGTCCATCCGTAAGATGGCTTTCCATATCAGTGTCTTCTCCTGTCTGCTCCTCAATGGCCAGTTTTCATCAGGAACACTTGACGAAATGGACGACTTTGTTGAATCAACACTGGCTTTCGTATCCAAGGTTTCGGTGTTTCTCGCTAAATTAATAAAATTCATGCTTTGTCAATATAAAAACAAGAAAGAAAGCAAACTTCGGCAAGCCGAAGTTCATATACCCTTGCAGCTATTGCAAGAATTTAACATTTTTGAAACCATTAAAATTATGATTTACTTGCGTATATGTTAAAAAACATTGAAGCTATGATGATTAGCAGCTCAATTATTTGATAGTTATTTTATATATTTTTATTATTTCTATGGGAGCTATATGATATAAACGTCCGATTTTGATAATATCTAAACCATAATTCTGAAATATTTAACCATTGCTATATGTCGAAGAACTGAACAAAAAATTAAAAAACAGAAAAGTTATAATTTTTTTCATTTGTTTTTCCGATTGTTCCTATGGGAGCTATATGCTATAGTCGTCCGATCCGGCTCGTTCCGACTTATATACTACCTGCAATAGAAAGACAGCTTTTGGGAAAGTTTCATGCAGATAGCTTTAAAACTGAGAGACTAGTTTGCATATAAACGGACGGACAGACGAACGGACAGACGGACATGGCTAGATCGACTCTACTAGTGATGCTGATCAAGAATATATATACTTTATAGGGTCGGAAACGTCTCCTTCACTGCGTTGCAAACTTCTGACTGAAATTATAATACCCTCTGCAAGGGTATAAGTTTCAAATAACTGGCAAAAAATTATGAAAATACTTAACAATCACGTGGACGTCAGTTAATCAGTTACTACCAACAACAAAATATGTACCGTTTAGGTATTTGCGTATCCGGGAATTGAATTCAGGAGCTAATGGATGGTCATGTAGGACGCCTTTGGACCGCATTGCCAAAAAAGTGCTCCAACTGATCCTGCGAAATACGGCTAGTGATAAGTGGTTCATAGCTTGCCTCACGGATAACTGGGTTAGAACTTTGCCATTGACAACAAGCCCTGAATCTAGTAAATTATTTCGTATCAACTTGACAAGATGAGAGTCTATCAGAGTCAGCTGGATGCTCAAACCATTTTTCTGTTTAAAAATATTATAAAATGAATCAAAGAACTATTATGTTTTTACTTCCTACCAGCGAGACTCGAAGATTTGACCACAATTTAGAGTTTCCGGGACACAGTTCGTTTATGATGCCGACGACATAATACCCTACCATATAAAGCTTTTCAATGAGTTTGTAGAAAGTGGATACGGTCATTGGCTGATCATAGTCGAAATATATAGGCTGCTTCCAAGACTTGAGCGTAATCCCGTGGCTTTTGCACGTACTCGTAAGTCGGCGTAACTTTCATTTCGTCGAAGTACAAAATGCATATTTTGTCCTTCTCGTCCATGTCCACGCCATTTGACATCAAGGAGCTAACGAAATCTATCGGTGCAATGTGGTTAAGGATGGAAGCGGAAACCCCTTTTTTATCAACTGGTATTCTCATGAAAACATAAACAAAGATGGTTGACCTGTTGACTGTGTTTACGTCACACAGCCACAGCTGTTCAGGTCAGCTGAAATCGAAAAAGTGATGGTGAATGCGTTCTGTGGAAATCGGAGTTTCACATTTGTTTAAATCTTCAACGGTTTCCAACGGATGGGCCGTGTGGAAAGAGGGAATTACATATGCGAAAGCCTTAAAAATGGACAATAAGGCGATAGTCTTGTAAAGTATCGATAAGAACTTAGTTAGGCCAACTCAGACCAGTTAATTGAGCGCTAATTGTTAAATTACTTTGGGTATTCTCGAAACGTCTGAATCTCTGAATTGCTGAAAAGTCAGCAGAAAAGTCAGATGCTGAAAAGCAGCAGGGATATTCAAAGAGATTCGGACGTTTCGGGAATACCCAGACGGAAAATTTTTAGCAGGTTGCTGAACTGCTGAAATTCCAGCAAGATGAATTTGTATGAAACAGCTGACCTAATTTCAGTATATTTCCTTTGAATTTTCAGCAATTCAGATATTATGTCGTTTCCGGAATACCCAAATTCTGAAAACTCAATGGAGTTCCTAAATTCAGCCTTCCTCAGATTCGAACCTATTTTAATTCTATGAATATTACGGATCTATGGATTTGAGATTATTATCCAGGAGTATTAAAAAAAGTTTAGTGTGATGCACCAATATTCACGTATAGGTAATCCTTGTACGCTAAAAACGTCTATATCTAAATTTTCGTTTATTAAAACAAAAACTTTTAAACTAAGCATAGTTAAATTGAAACGATGTTTGATTTAGCAACATATTTGATTAAACATAAAATTGGCTTGTTGTTGGAGCAGCCCGCTCCTACATCACAACTGTATGAGGGGCTGTACCTGGCGCTCACGATAGGCGGACACGTCGGCCATCAGTTCCTGCCGAAAGCGCTCATGGTTGCGAACGAAGTCCTCCAAGGCTCTTATCCGTCGTCGCTGTCGCTCGGCATTGCTAATTGTGCTGCTGCTGTAGTTGTTGTTGGCTGCGCGCGATAATACTGTTGAGACGGGAGCAGCTCCAGGATTCCGAGCGTCTGGATAGAAAACGCTGTTAGCGACGGAAGAAGCAGGTGTGGGGCGGCGCTGCGCCTTGGGCGTTCCACTCGGACTTCCGTTTCCGTTTGCATCTGAAAGTGGAACGTAGCTTTAACGTGGCTTTAAGAATTTGCATCCGGGTTGATTGAGAATTTCGCCTAGTCATTTTTGTGACACGGTGGAGAATAGCCCTCTTTGGCTCCTCAATAGAAAACATAGGGTGTGGTCGAGCTCAGCTTTAAATCAGCTTACAATTTGATTTTGATTCGTTTGTCTATGATTGTGGTCATTGTGTAACAGTTCTTGCCATGAAGCATCCCATTAACTTATACGATTATTTTTCTTAACTAAAGTGAATTTTTTTAAAGACGAGTCAATAATAACGAGCAAATTATAAAGTATTAACTTACAAAAATAACCCAACGAAAACTCATACAAAAATGTAAGAATAGTCACATTTTTGAAATCAAACCTTTCTTTAGGATACATTTGAGCCCCTTCAGCTGAAGAATTGACGATAACTCGCAATCAAAACAAGAGGGAACGCTTAATTCGATTCACCCGACTATTAGATACTCGGCATTAGCGGCAGAGCACAAACGAACAGTACAAAACCGATGTGGCTTTCTCGTACAAATTACTCACACAAATTAAGTGCTTGCATATACTAGTATGTGTGCTTTCCGCTGCTCTTCGTGCTCGAACTCCGTTTTTGAAATCTGCAGTGACGTTATAGCAAAACAAAATGCCAATAACTTCTAAAATTATAGCTCGAATAAAAAAATGTTTTCAGGACAGGTAGCGCCGAAACACACACACACAGATCCTAAGGCCTAATATGTCTTAAAGTAGTTTGTGGGTGTTAGAATGGCTGCGTATGAATTCCTAGAAATGCCATTTCAAATCTTAAATCTTTAGCATTTATAGTTTTCGAGATCTCAGCGTTCATACAAATGGACATGGCTAGATCGACTCGACTCGGAAACGCTTCCTTCTACCTGTTATATACCTTTCAACAAATACAATATACACTTTTACTCTAGGGAAAACGGCTGTTAAAACTTAGGTACATATGTGATTCAATCGAAAATTTTGAACGGCTAGAGCTGTTTTTTTTTTATTAAAGAGGCGTTCAAAGGCTTCTCATCATACTCGTCCAGAGCTCTAATATAGTACATAGCAGATATGTAGTATAAATGAATTTCTTACTACTTACCTTGCCTGACCATCTGCTTTTCCTGCTGGAGGCGAGCGTTGCTGGAACCGAAGTATCCGTTGATAAAGGGGAGAGGTGACATGACCACCCCACCTCTCAGGGAACTGTCGGGCGGAGGAGGGGCGGGTCTGTTAAAAGGATTTGTCCGCCTGGGCGGAGGCCTGGGCTTGGCTTCGTCCGAGGCCGTTTGCGGTCCGTCAATGGCGTTACCGAGCCTTTCTGCGGATGAAAGAACGCAAAAAGTTAGGGTATTCGGATCTTGGGAGCAGGAATTAGCGCTGACTAACTGTTTCTGGAGTCCTCTATCTCGTTCAGCTCCCGCTTCAGCTCGGCCATGATAATGCGCTTGTACTCGTAGCCGGCACAGGTAAGCGCCTTCATCCACGTCTCCATACTCTCCTGGTTGTCGGCGGACAGTATGTAGGTGCGGTTTCCATTGAAGGCGATCTCAAAGCAATAGTTGTCCACCTCATTGGACAACTCGATGGTGCAGCCCTCGACAATAATAAGCCCTAAGGGTTCCCTGTCCAAGCGTGACTCGAAGTAGAAGAGCAGGTTACCCTTGAGAACAAAGTAGCGTCGCTGAAAAGCCTTGTTCACCTCCCCCCGTTTGTTGAGGAAGCCTGGAAGGTGTTTTGGTGATTAATACATTATGATTATTTATAGACGAGCAGGTAAGGGCTCTAACGATACCTTCCATGTCGAAAGGCGGCGTCCTCGCGAAGACGTACAGGTTCTTCTCGTTGATTTTCATGGTCGGACTGACTTTGGCTGCATTCGAAGTAAATATAGTCGCCTGTGTGCTCCTTTAGTTTACTCTTGCGATGAGCAAGTAAAAAGCTGAATAGCAAACAGCTGTAGAGCAGTGCTGCCACACCTCACGCCATTTATCGATTGCTGGTAGTGGAATAACACTGCAGTGTTGCCAGCTTAGCCTTTTTTAGGCGACACTAGCATATATGAAAGAGGAATAGCTAATACAAATTTTAACTAGCCTATAGCCATTAACAAAACAGAATATGCTTTATTTTTGAAAGAAACTTACATTTTTTTTGCTACAATTTTTATTGAATTTGAAAAAATAACTTTTTTTGTATGTTTTCCACATTTGGATGTAGCTTGTTTTACAGAATTGAGTTGTAGCCTATTTTTATCCAGAATTTAGCTAATGCGGAGTCTCAGCAACTGACAACACTGATACACTGCTCGGCGGCGCCGCCATGTTTCACTGTTATTTGCAATAGAAGAACCTACGAAATGTCGTACTTACTCACGGAAATTGCTCTGGAGATGCTTGGCTACAAGTTCTACGACACCAATGGCACATTTCACCTGACCAACTTCCAGAACACCTCGACCCACAGCGAATCGCACCCCGACGAGCCTTCGCTGGCCGAATTTATTGAGCAGAGGACAGTGCAAAACGAAGCGGATCCAGTCGCCGCCCCCAGTCAAGCCCCCATCCCCGACTCACGCCATCCGCGACGCACGCCCGCCAAGGCCCTGGCCAAAATAATGGACTATGAGAGCGAGAAGATCGTCAACCAGATCAGCGCTCGCCTGGAGCGGTCAGTGTGGCGGCGGGCGGCGGACAGCGAGGAGCTATTGGGTGAGGTGATGGACGAGGAAAGACGGCTGATCAGAGCGGACGCTGGTGAGATCCGTAAGTTCCGCGAATTCCTGCAGTCGCGCCTGCAGCGACTGGACAAGCGGCCATTCGAGAAGTATGAAAGAACCTTCGGCGCGGAGTAGTAGTATAATGCTAGTATATAGGATGAGTGCGAAATAAATTAAGATCTAGTCGTTAAATTGTTCATAAACATTAATAAAAGAGTAATAGTCAATAGCCTGATTCCATTGCCGCATTAGCATTTGGCTAATGGTTTTGTTTAGTTTTGTATTGTCGCAAATCCAAACGAAATAAATTAAAAATCATGAATACAAGCGAATTTACGGAAGTGTTTAATGCTCAGCAGGACAGCCATATTGCTGTCGGGGGGAAGGAAGGGGAGCTGATGGTCTTGTTTGACGGGTTTGCAAAGGAGACCACCACAGTTCCTGAAACAGAGAAATAGTCCCCGTATGTTGGAGTTTTTCCCCTCCAGAGATCCAGCAGTAATGCATTGTGGTACTGCGGCCAGGATTTGCTCTTGTTTTATAGCCGGATTCCATTGCCGAGATAAAACGCACTCAGCCTAATGCGCATTTAAATGCCGCATTTAAAATTTATGCGATAAAAAATTATTTCCCCCAAACGTTTTTAGAAAAAATACCGGAAAATTCCGATGTATAAGGATACATGCAAGGTTGGCGTAGAGCCGGTAAACTATCGATGGTGGCCTATTCGATATTTTCGATGTTTTGGGAACAAAATTCGATATTATCGATAGTATCGTTATTTGTACAGTTCTTTTTACAAATTAAAATTATAAGCAATATAGAAGGTATATTTCATATATTATAATTTCCTGCAATAGTACTTAAAACTACAACCACCACCACCTCCAATTTGATGTAAAAAAAATGTCCCCCACCATCGATAGCGAAAAAAACTATCTATGGTGGCTTAGATTTGAAAAAATTCGATATCTTGATAGTGCCATCGATAGTTTCCCAGATCTAGCTTGGCGCAATTTTTAATTTCTTTGGTCTTGTGATCTCCATAGCAAACCCGTCAAACAAACATTAGCTTTTCTTCCTTGTCGTCCAAGTCAGCAAAAGAGTATTCATTTATTTTAATTAACTTCTTTTGGATTTGCCAAAATTCAAAAGTAAACAGACCCAGATCAGATCGAAAGAAATAATAATTGCGCCATCCTTGCAAATATACACTTACGAAAGAACGTGGAAAATTAGTATTAGTATTATTTCTAAAAAATTTTGGGGCGAATGATTTTTAATTTTTTTATTTTAAATGAGGCATTTAGTTGGCGAGCTGGCTGCTGGCATCCGGAGCACAGCACTGTTTTCGGTTCGGCAGCCGATGAGGATGGAGTATCCCATTCGTCATTGTCCCACCTTGCTCTTTTAGCTGCTGTCCTGAAAGGAGCTACCCTGGGTATTTCCTCCGTTTACCAAAGCCTCAAATTCAGCAACATCGTCAGCGGCAAAGGCGGCCTTTGGATCTTTTTGACCCTGGCAATTTAGTTGAACCGTTTGCATCTCAACAAGTGGCGCAAGCTCAAACTCCTTGGAGAACTGATTGGTTTCCGTACGGGGATAGCTGATAACTTTATCTCCTTGCCGGGATTAGCGCAGAAGCATCTGTGTGCGGCGAGAACTGGACGAAAACATTTTATCATATCGAAAGTAATTTAATATTACGTTATGTATTATCACCCACACTTCTGCTTCCACTCCAGCGTTCCAGTAGACCTTTTCCCATCTGGCAACTCCGGCCGACGGACCTTGTTTTCCTTGTCAGCATAGCTGTGTCCAGTCCCGTTGTGTAAATAAATACGCATAAGGCTAAATGCGTTTTAATGCGCCAATGGAATCGGGCTATAACTGTGCACAGGGTGCCTAAGTATCTTTCTTTATCTGCGCCAGTGTGGCCACCCCATCGACAGCCCGGACTATCGGAGCCACTGTCATCTCTAGCAGCGCACAACACGAGTAAAGGTCAGCTCTCGTAACTTGTCTCCGAAATATTCAATAATTCAGATTTTCCTGTCAAAATTTGAGCCGTGAACTGAACCGTACCTTACGCTCTTTCCCTTCCGTTTCACCCTGCAGGCTCAGCTCAGCCCACAACTCGTTTGCCAACTTAGGATCTACATCCCCTCCCGAAGGTGACGACAACGGCGCTTGCATAATGAAAATCTGGACGTCGGAGCACATATTTAACCATCCGTGGGAGACGGTCACGCAGGCGGCGTGGCGCAAGTACCCAAACCCTATGACTCCCTCCATCATTGGCACGGACGTGGTCGAGCGCCGGGTGGTAGACGGCGTCCTGCACACACACAGGCTGGTTCAGTCCAAGTGGTACTTCCCCAAGTGGACGCACGCCCTGATTGGAACGGCCAAGACCTGCTTTGCCAGTGAACGATCCACGGTGGACCCGGAGCGCAAGCAGATGGTGCTGAAGACAAACAACCTCACATTCTGCCGCAACATTAGCGTCGACGAAGTACTCTACTACGAGCCGCATCCGGCGGACGCCAGCAAGACGCTGCTCAAGCAGGAGGCCACGGTGACAGTATTCGGAGTCCCCCTGTCCCACTACATGGAGGACCTGCTTACATCGACAATCAGCTCCAACGCGGGCAAGGGTCGACAGGGCCTGGAGTGGGTGATTGGGCTGATCAACACAGAGGTCAAGGGCATCGCCCGCGGCACCGACGAACTCCTACACAGCACACGACGCTCCATCGACGAAGTCACGGAGAGCGCCCGCAAGAGCATGGATGAGATCAGCGCGCAGGCCACCAAGGCGGCGAAGGCGATGCACATAACATAGGTGCCGCGGATGCGTAGTGAATTTTTGAATTAAATTCGATGGCGCAAAGTCGCCGTTTTAGTACAACAATTAACCAATGGCAAGGCTGACATCTGGCAGCGTGTGGGGCAGCAACAATTACTTCGTTTTTCAAGCCATTAAATGTATATTTTATAACAACTCTCTACCGAACGACCCGACTATCAGTTATCAGTTATGGCTGGTAGCTGACGGCTGATATGAATTTCTCTTGTCTGGCAGAATTTGAAGGAGCTCACGCTTTTGCTGGCACCCATTGCAGATCAATATATATACATATATAAATAACATAGTCAATGTAAGCTTTGTAAACAGCCGCAAAAATCGAAGAACGAGGAGAGAAATTAAACTAAAGATTTGCTTACCAGTCAGTGTCAAGATCAGTTGTATTATTTTAAGTAATGTGGCCTCTAAGTCTAAGAACTGCAATGAGTTTGAACAAGTCTACATACATATGTCCAAACAAAACCCCCGAAAGCTGCAATTTTTTGTCTCGAGGTACCCTTGCAGAGGGTATTATAATTTCAGTCAGAAGTTTGCAACGCAGTGAAGGAGACATTTCCGACCCTGTAAAGTATATATATTCCTGATCAGCATTACTATGAGCGTCGATCTAGCCAGCTTGCTGAAAATAATGTATATTAACTTCGGCTTGCCGAAGTTTGCTTTCTTTCTGATTTTTTTAGTTTTCAATCTATCCAAGTTTCAAATAATGGTAAATTGGAACTGACGAATGGTAAATCAGCGAGTTATAGATTTCGGGGCCTTATTTTAAAAAGAAAAACTATTAATTTACATTTCCTTCTTAAAATTATTGGAATAGGGGTAAGTGTCTTGGAACATCAGAAGCTCATATACTCAGAGGCAGCTCGTAAAAGTAATTTGATTTTGTTTTGACTTGGATTTTTAAAGGGGGCCATATCGCCGATAAGCTAAAAGATATTTTAAAACGACGCAGTGGGAAACAAAAACTTTTTAATATAAACATGTTGAAAACTTTTGTTAACATTTTTAATGATAAAAGTTTTTTTTGGTTTTGGTTTGGAAAAGATGCAGCTATTGCAAAAATTATATATTCTTGAAAACATTAAAATTATGATTTACTTGGGTATAAGTTTAAAAACATTGAAGCTTTGATGATTTACAGCTTATTATTCAATCGTTCCTTTCTTTTTGAATAAAACACAAACAGTTTGACTTTTCAACTAATTTTTTTTTGTCGACTCGATTTCTTTCGCATGACCACCGCGTGCACATTTTACGAAGTCCAATTCGGTCGAAGTTGAAGCGCACCTATTGAAAAACCCTTTATATATTATATATATATATTTTGCCAAATCACCATGATGCTTCTAATTCCAGTTAACGTGATATGATCTACTACTATTCGGCATAAGCTGGTGGGAAATACCAATTTTGAATGTTTTATGGTTTCTTGCATGGAAACTTTTGAGATGAATTAATATTTAATATAAATATTAAACGGACACACAAGCGTATTTTAAAAATTGAAATTATTTCATCGTCTGACTGTATCAGAGCTAAGGTACAAGGTACTGAAATAATTATAAATATAGATCCTAAGGTCTTTAAGACTCTTTGATTTTTGTAAATTTAATATTTATGCAATTTGTCTTCATTCTGTTCAGTCTTTAGTATTAAATATAACAAGAAAGAAAGCAAACTTCGGCAAGCCGAAGTTCATATACCCTTGCAGCTATCGCAAGAATTAAATATTTTTGAAAACATTAAAATTATGATTTACTTGCGTATTTAAACCATAATTCTGAAATATTTAACCATTGCTATATGTCGAAGAACTAAACAAAAAATTAAAAAACAGCAAAGTTATAATTTTTTTTCAATTATTTTTCCGATTGTTCCTATGGGAGCTATATGCTATAGTCGTCCGATTTTGATGAAATTTAAACCATAATTCTGAAATATTTAACCATTGCTTTATGTCGAAGAACAAAACAAAAAATTAAAAAACAGCAAAGTTATAATTTTTTTTCAATTATTTTTCCGATTGTTCCTATGGGAGCTATATGCTATAGTCGTCCGATTTTGATGAAATTTAAACCATAATTCTGAATTATTTAACCATTGCTATATGTCGAAGAACTAAACAAAAAATTAAAAAACAGCAAAGTTATAATTTTTTTTCAATTATTTTTCCGATTGTTCCTATGGGAGCTATATGCTATAGTCGTCCGATCCGGCTCGTTCCGACTTATATACTACCTGCAATAGAAAGACAACTTTTGGGAAAGTTTCATGCAGATAGCTTTAAAACTGAGAGACTAGTTTGCATATAAACGGACGGACAGACGGACAGACGGACAGACGGACGGACAGACGGACGGACAGACGGACATGGCTAGATCGAATCTACTAGTGATGCTGATCAAGAATATATATACTTTATAGGGTCGGAAACGTCTCCTTCACTGCGTTGCAAACTTCTGACTGAAATTATAATACCCTCTGCAAGGGTATAAATATTATCTGAAGCTTAGTTTTTGTACGACGCGTATGTATTTATTATTTTTTTCTGAAGTTTCGTTCAAAAATTTTTCATTGCTGCAAAAACTACGCGGTCAGAGCTTTATACAAATATTTTTTAAGAAAGAATTCATTATTATAATTATCATACAAATATTCTACATCTCAAACATATAGAAAATAAAGTTTAAAAAAAAGCCACTAAAAGATGCAAGTTTTAACACCATTTTTATTTAATTAAGAAGACCAAAACAGGTAAAACCGCGAAAACAATATTTCACACCTCAAATATATTTACGAAAACGTAATAAATCGATTCGTCACTTTTTTTATTATTATTTTATTTTTTTTTTATTATTTTTATTATTTAATTTTTAAGCCCAGTACTTTTTTAAAAACAATAAAAAAGGCTTATACTTTTTTTGTTAATGTCTTGAAGTATTGTAATCTACAACAAACAGGATTTCCCATTATTAAAACTATTAAATTGGTATAACTGTTTACTAACCATATCCAAACTTTTCTTCTTTGAGTTATTAATTTAATTTAAAAAGAAAAAAAAGAAAGTAAAACTAACATTTTATGAAAAAAAAAACTGGAATACTAAAAAATCCAATAAAAATCTAGAAAACAAAAAACAACCAGAAAATGTTTAAAAAATCCATTTTATACGATTTTCCGATTTGTTACAAAATTTCTATGATTTGCTCAAACTCATCTGCATTTTCTTTGTTTTCGTCAGCAAAATTTTTGACAAAATATTGCCGTTTTAAAAAAAAGTTTAATTTTTGTAATAGTTGCGGGATAAACACAATATAATAAACAAAACAATAACGTTTGAATTTAACGTTAGAAAGGTATTGTGACCGTGAACTTATTACCAAAGAATTGTCAAGCAGTATACATATTGTCTCTGTCACTGCCATACCCGTATAAAAGATGTAAAAAAATCTTAAATCTATCGATTCAATGTTAACGTGATGTTAACTTAACATCCGCATGTAGTGGAGACTTACTCCGCGAATATCCAAGACTTAATCCACAAATAGCAAATACTTACTCCGCCGCTAACAGAGACACAACATTTAGCAATAGAGGTAGGGAACCAGCTGCATTTAGTGGAGACACAGGTAGTTGAGACACATTCCGCATGTAACGATGTATAAGGGATGGGAAAACACCGATTCCTACTGATGTTTAAAACCACGTCAGTGTCGATGATGGTCCACCTCTAACAGGTAAAATCAAATGTAATGTTTTCGAATAGATAAGAGCAGCGCCAATTGATCATGGAAGTAGCACCCACGCACTTTTCGGAAACACACAGCATTATAATAGGTCAGCAACCTCGCGAAAAGCAGATAACCATAACCAATCGGTAGCGCTCTTGTAAGTCCCCAATCATCGAACAAGTGCGCCCATTTGAGAGGCTGACGGAATCCCCCCTTGGGTTTACGTAAATAGTAATAAAGTGCCGCCATGACGGACGTGGAGATCGCCACGGCCAAGAAGTCCAACCCCGTAAAGTCCCTCATTGCGGGCGGCGTGGGTGGCATGTGCAATGTGGTCGTCGGCCATCCGCTGGACACCATAAAGGTGAGTTGGAAATCTACCAAACTGCCGATGTAATTATCATTTTTCATCCTAGGTGCGCCTCCAAACCATGCCCACGCCCTTGCCGGGGGGGACTGTGCCGCCCGCATTCTACGCCAGGAGGGATTTCGGGGATTCTACAGAGGGATCTCGGCTGCTCTGGTCGGCGTCACACCCCTCTATGCCGTGGACTTTGCGGTCTATGCTGCGGGCAAGCGGTTGTTCCAAACAGACGAGCACCTGCGGCTCACCTACCCACAGATTTTTATGGCCGGAGCGCTGGCGGGAGTCTGTTCCGCCCTCGTCACAGTGCCCACCGATCGGTTAAAGGTCCTGCTGCAGACACAAGCCATCACCAGTGGACCCCTGCTGTACAATGGGACCATGGACACGGTCGCCAAACTTTATAGGGATCAGAAGTCTCTTCAAGGGCACCTGCGCCTGCATTCTGCGAGGTGAGTTGTGGATTAGTAATGCTATTTGCCCTATTAGTAATGCTGTTTTGTAAGCCCAGACTCGCCCACCGGCTTCTATTTCGTGACCTACGAGTTCCTTCAGGAAATGGCCAGGAAGAAGTCCAAGACAGGGAAGATTAGAACCGCATCTACGATTCTGTCCGGCGGAACGGCTGGCATTGTGTTTTGGACTTTGGCCGTGCCCTTCGATGTACTTAAAAGCCGTCTCCAGTCAGGTGAGTCACGGTCATGCACTCACAAATCGCTCTGTTGGCCAGGATTTATTAATGCCCCGATTGCAGCACCTGAGGGCACTTACAAGCACGGCATTCGATGTGTATTTAGGGACCTTATAACCACAGAAGTTCCCAAAGCTCTGTTCCGCGGAATTCTCCCTATTTTACTGCGTGCCTTTCCCTCCACCGCCGCGGTTTTCTTCGGCGTGGAGCTCACCAATGACTTGTTGAAAGCCTAATCTTAGGAGTTTGTATTCAAGAGAGGCTGTTTAATTAATTTTAATAATTAAATGTATTGTTATCAAAGTTATTTTTTTGATTTTATACTGACTTTCGGTAATTGTTAAGTAGACCGTATTCGACCGAGTTTCATGTTGGTGTTCGTAGCACTTCAAAAATGATTTAAAAAATACGCTAAATATCCGAAAACTGTTGCTAATATTAAATTATTTGATTGAAAAGAAATCTAGTAAATAAATATTTTATTTCCTAAGAGTAATGCTGTTAATTTAACTTTTTATTTGAGGTCTAAACAATAATGCTGCCAAATGATCATGATGCTTCTAATTCCAGTTTACGTGATTTGATC